AAAGCTGATAATCGATTATTGCGTGCTTCAGAACTTGGAAGTTCAAAGCTGCAGAGGCTGATAGTCGATTGTCACTAAGGTGATAATCGATTATCACCCAGCTAAAGTCTAGCCAGCTGAAACCCGTTTTGAAAAACCGAGGTCCAAAAACGAAGTGTTCCCAAAAGTAAAAACCAAGTTTGAAAAACATTGTATATGGTATAAAATAGTGAAAACAAGACTTGTTTGGTAAAAACCAAGTCCTCAAGGTCGTAAATCACGTGCGTACGGTTTTGACCGTTTTTTTCGTGTTAGACCGATTGACCAAGATACAAAAGTGGTTTTTACAAAATAATTATTTGGGAACCTTTAAAATATGCTCAGAGATAAAAACAGGGTTTAAAATCTTGAAAACCACGGAGTTGGTTCGGGTGCCAAAAACCGAACGCCGAAGACCGAACGCCAAAAGCCGAACGCCGACTTAGGTGGTTTTAGTTCTTAGCAAGGACCAGGGATTTTAACAAAAAAAGAGATTTATCTAAAATGTTTATCTTGATGCATAAAAACATTTTATGATTTTGTAAAATAATTTTGACTATTTGAGAACCGAGACTTGAATTGATTATCGGTTTTGATCACAAAAGACCGACTCGACTAAGTCTTCAATTCTTGATCTTGTCCTTGAGTCTTTTAGGTCTTGTTCCAAGCCATTCTTCACGCCTTGAGTTATTCAACGAAACTCTTCATATCCACGGCGGTTTGGCAATTATCAAAACCTGTCAGAAATGAAAATGAGTTTAGTTTAACATACAAAGTGTGTTCCAACAGCCGCCACCACCCATCCCTCGGCAAAGAGGAGGAGGGGAGAAAGCGTCCCGGCCACAGAGTCGCTAGAGGAGCTCTGGGTCAAGATAGGGCAAAAGCTGAAAGAGGTAACATTCGCCCGGTACACTTTCCTCAGCTTTATTACTTGTTTGCCGTACTGACCGGTATGTTTGGTTTTGCAGATGGGTGAGGTCGGGCCTGAAACCTTGGGGAAGCTCGTCGAAGGCTCCCCTTCCCGGTCACTTCAGCTGGAGGTAAAGCTGAAGAGGCTTGAAGCCCACAACCGGGAGCTTCAAGACCTGACCGCCCGGCAACTTGACGAGATGGCCAACCTCTCGGCGGCTGCCGGTAGGGCTAACGCGGAGGTCCTCCAGCTGAAGGAGGAGAACTCGCTGCTGATGGGGGAGGTCTCCCACCTGAAGGAGGAGGCATGGGTGAAGGAGCAAGAGTTGCCTGGTCGGGCCAGACAGTGGATGGAGGAGAACCTGGTGGAGGCCGCCCGGGTGCTTACCTCCTCTGAGGAAAGGGCAATGGAGGGCTTCAAGTTGCTGTACCGGGAGGAGCAAGGGAAAGAGATGATTACCCAGATCGGCTCCTACGGTTTCATGTTCGGCCAAAAACGAGACCGGGAGGCCACCCATGCGATCCTTGCCGACCGGGATCCGGACTTCAATGTCGAATCATACGGTCTGGCCCCCATCCCGGACGAAGAGCCTGCGCCTCCCTTTCCTCTTGAGTAATCTTCCCGGCTGCGACCGGTTAAATTATTTTGGAAAACTTCAAACTCATTTCCCCGGGAATGCCCGGTGTATCTGTAAACCCTTGAATTTTTAATTCGTCTGAATGCATTGTTTAATTTCCATGCCGGTTTAGCTTCCATATTTGCGTGCTTTTTGATTGATACTTTGATCTTCGCTTCTTAGAACGCCATCATAGGATATCCGACCGGTATAGTAATCAATCACCATACTTCCTTTGACCGGTATTACTTCAAAGTTCTCTCTGGTCACTTTATTTCAAGGATCAGCCCGAGAGACTTTGACCGGTTAAACTTCAATTTTTGCTTTTCGATCGTCTTCACCGTCTCAGCCAACTTAAAAAGTCTGACCGGCCGAACTTTAATCTTGTCTTTTGGATGGCTTCACAAATTCTTTTGGTAGAGTTTAGTTTGACCGGTGTATTCCCACTCCATGGTTTGACCGGGCAACTGCCTTGCCTCCCGACGGACGTAGAACTTTCGAAGTTCTGTTGTGCCCATACCCGACCGGGGTATCTCCTGTGTATTCCCACTCCATGGTTTGACCGGGCAACAACCTTGCCTCCCGACGGACGTAGAACTTTCGAAGTTCTGCTGTGCCCATACCCGACCGGGGTATCTCCTTTTTTTTTTATCGGTAGGTTGTAGATGGAAACACATGTAACCTAGTTATTCTTGAAGTATCCTTAACCGGTAAGAATACTGGAGATTTAACCATGTCGAATGGTTTCGAACCCTCTCCAAGGTCCAAATTCACCCTTCTTCCAGGGCCCCCTCTTCCGGGTGATTAAGTCTTTTAATGGCCCTTTGATTTCTACCATCCTGGGAAGGCCTTAGCTCACCCCCCGTTCAAGTCTTCCCTGAGAAGGGGGAAACAGGATGCGCCACGGTGGACGATCCCCTTCTATTTCTTTTAATGGGCATCTTTTAATCCCCAATCAATTTGACGGCGTCGGCTGATTCCCCGACACCAGTCAAACCTCATGGGCCCGTGTAAGTACGGTTCGAACCCTCTTCCAGGTCCAGCCCTCTTGCAGGCATACCCTCTTCCGGGCCCCTCTTCCGGGTTTTAATATTTTTTCTATTATACTGAGCGAGACCGGTGTAATAACCAGCGTGCCAGGTCCGGGCCTGTGTTTTAGTTGGCTTAGCCAAGAGGATTCGATCCACCCAGGAAGCCCTCCTAGGATAGGTTCGACCTATCAATCCTGCCGCTACCAAATAGAGTATTGGACATCATCGATTTGATTGATAATAAAGTAGGCCTTGCCTAGTATTACAATCATTTGTAGAATTTGCGAAGATGATGGGAATTCCAGGTTCTTTCTACCGGTACCCCTTCAAGAGTTTCTAACCGGTATGTCCCCGGGCGAACGATGGCTCTAACCCTATATGGGCCTTCCCAGTTTTTTGCTAGCTTTCCCCCGTCGCCGGGTCTACTTGCTTCTCTTCTTCGTAGGACTTCATCCCCAACTTGGAAGTACCGCGGCCCGACCTTGTTATCATGGTACTTCTTCACAACTTGTTGGTATGTGCTCATTTTGACTTCCGCGGCCATTCTACGCTCTTCGACCAAGTTGAGTTCGGCCAAGTGATCTTCCTCATTTTGTTGGGGTTGATAGTTTGATTCCCGGAACGTTGGGAATTCGGCTTCGATGGGCAGCCTTGCTTCACACCCATAGGTTAGAGAGAATGGAGTCTCCCTATGAGCCCTCCTGGGTGTTACCCGGAATGCCCATACGATGTGTGGGAGCTCTTCCAGCCACTTGTTTCCTGCTTCTCCCAACCGCTTCTTCAAACCATCTACAATAGTTCTGTTGGCGTTTTCGACTTGGCCATTTCCTTGGGGGTACGCCACCGAAGAGCGATTGTGCTTGATCCCGAAGCCCTCCAAGTATTCAGTGAATCTTGGATTTCGGAACTGTGGGCCGTTGTNTACGATCACGAACTTCTTCCCTCCTTGGGCGACTGGGAATGCTCCAATGATATCAACCCCGAACCTAGCGAATGGGATGACATTCGATACGGGGTGATAGTAGGTTGCTGGTCTACCGGGGTACTTGTAGAACACTTGACATGTTCTACATTTCTGTACATACCTCTCACAATCCTGGACAATCGTTGGCCAGTAATACCCCAACAAGATAATGCGCTGGGAAAGCGTACAGGACATTTGATGCGCCGCGCATACGCCTTCGTGGACTTCCGCTATGACTCGCTCCGCCTCCCGGTTAGTTAGGCATCTCAGGAGTGGCCCCCCAAATGCCCTTTTATATAGCTTTCCATCGAGAATCTGGAATCGGGGTGCCCTGAGCTTCACTTTCCTTGCCCGGTCATCTTGTTCTGGCAAGCTCCCATCCGTCAGATATTCCATCAGATCACACATCCAATGGTCGTCCGCCCCGACCAAGTTTGACCGGTCAAACTGGCTTCCGGCAGTTATAGCGGCGACTTCCAATTTCTCGATGCTTGACCGGTCAAGGATCTCTACCTGGGCAAGTTTCGAAACATGCTCGGGAGCATACTGCGTCAATTTGGAGAGAAGGTCTGCATCTGCGTTCTCTGCCCGGGGAATTTGGGCGATCTTGAATTCTTCGAAGCCTTTCAACAGGGCAAGTACAAGGTCCTTGTATTGTGCCATGCGTCCTTCCCTTGCTTCCATGTTACCGGTCACCTGCCCTACTATCAGGCTAGAGTCAGATTTGATACTGACCCGGCTGATTTTCAGGGCTTGGGCAAGTCTAAGCCCTCCAGCCAGAGCTTCATATTCTGCCTCATTGTTCGTCGGCTTGATGTTGAAGACGATTGCATGGTAGATCTTGAATCCTTCTGGGGTGGTGAACACGATACCACCCCCGTACCCTCTAGGACCGGACGCCCCATCAACTGCCATCTCCCACCATTGCTCAGTGGGCTTGTTGACCGGTAAGTCTGGAGTTAGACCGGTCATTTCTACTAGGAAGTCAGCAAGGGCCTGTCCCTTAATTGCCGACCTCAGCCGGTACTCAATGTGGAATTGGGTTAACATCATCGCCCACTTCACCATCCTCCCGGAGGATGTTGAATTTCGCAACACTGCACCCAGCGGTTGGTCAGTCAAGACTTCTACCGGGTGAGCTTGGAAGTAGGATGTTAACTTTCTTGCGGAGATGAAAAGCGCATAGGCTGTCTTTTCCATCGCCGTATATCTACTCTCAGCCCCGTTTAGTGCTTTGCTCACATAATAAATGGGCTTTTGTGCCCCATCATCTCTTATTAAAACGGAGCTTACAGCATTTGGGGAAATTCCCAGGTACATATACAGAGTTTCACCCGGTTCGGGTTTAAACAATACAATATCCGACGCTAGGTACTCTTTCAGCTCCTCGAATTCCCTCCTGCATTCTTCGTCCCATGCAAATGCGCTGGCCTTCTTCAGAACTTTGAAGAAGGGCAGGGATCTCTCAGCTGACCGGGAAAGGAACCGGCTGAGGGCCGCTAAACGACCGGTCAACTTTTGAACATCCCTAACGGAGGTAGGGGCCTGCATTTCAGTGATAGCCCGGATTTTTTCTGGGTTGGGCTCTATTCCTCTCTTGGTCACCATGAATCCCAAGAACTTCCCGGTACGAACCGCGAAGACGCATTTCTTAGGATTCAGCCGGAGGTTGTACCTTGCCATGATATCGAACGTGGCTCGCATATCAGCGGGTGGTTCAGAGATACCTGACTTTTGATCAGCATGTCGTCGACGTATGCCTCCATGGTCTTTCCCAGTAGTGGCTTGAAGAGTTTGTTCACCATGCGCTGGTAGGTTGCCCCCGAGTTCTTCAAGCCAAACGCCATTACCCGGTAGCAGTAGGTTCCTTCGGGTGTGAGGAATGACGTCTTTTCTTCATCTTCTTTGGCCATGTAGATTTGGTGGTAACCCTTGAAGGCGTCCATGAAACTTAGGAGTTCGCACCCCGCAGTTTCGTCCACCATTTGATCCGGACTGGGAAGGGGGTATGAATCCATCGGACAAGCCTTGTTCAAGTCCGTATAATCCACACACATTCTCCACGTGTCGCCCTTGGGGGCAAGGACAACGTTGGCCAGCCAATCCGGGTACGTGACTTCCCGGATGTGACCAACACTGAGGAGGTCTTTCACTTCCTTCTTGACGAAGTCTCGCCGGTCACTGGCCAGGTACCGCTTCTTTTGGCGTACCGGCCGACTTCCCTCCCTCACGGCCAACCGGTGGCAGATAACCGAGCGATCTATCCCGGGCATATCCGTCACGCTCCACGCGAATATGCCCGTGTATTCTTAGAGGACCCGTGTAATCTGCTCCTTGAGATCCTCGGGGAGATTTGCTCCAATTCTGACCATCCTGGAAGAATCACCCGGGTGAAGTTCGATTTCCACCGTCTCAGCCTCGGGCTCCAGTTTCTCCCGGGTCTCTCCCTTTGTGATCTCCTGGGAGATGACATTAACCCCCCTGGTCATTTTCTTGACTGCCCGGGCATAGCACTCCCGGGCGTTCCTCTGGTCGCCCTTCACCTCACCCACACCACTTGGAGTGTGGAACTTCATGCATAGATGAGGCATGGAAATCACCGCCCCGACTTTATTGATGCCTGGCCTTCCTAGAATTGCGTTGTGGACGCATTTGATGTCCACAACTATGAACCGCATCTTCTTCCGCACGGTCTTTTCACCTGATCCTAGTTCGACCGGTAGAACTATGGATCCTTCAGCCTCAACGGTGTCCCCCGTGAAGCCTGAGAGAGGGGTTTTGAGGGGTTCAAGTTGTGTTCGACACAACCTGAGTTTTTGGAAGGTCTCCAGGTATAAGATGTTGACACTGCTGCCGGTGTCAACAAGTACCCGGGCGACATCCACCCCATTAATGTCCATGGTGATGACCAATGGATCATTGTGATCTTCACCGGTAGGAGGGAGATCCCGGTCAGTAAAGACGAT